CCAGGCGGGTCTCGAACCCGCAGGCTAAGGCAATCCACTCACCTCAGCCTCCCAAAGGCACGGGATTACAGGCTGAGCCACCGAGCCCGGCTTACAACATGACTTTATATACTCTAAAGACACCTGCATTGTTTTTACCTAGTGAGCAGTTGCTTTGCATCCTCCCATCTGTTGAACAACGTAACATGGTGCCAACCACACGGCCTCCCACAACAATGACACGTACATCCCGTCCATGAGACTCTTTAACATACTTCTGGAACAGGTATGGAGCTTCATGGCGAATAAGATGGCTCAGATCAGCCAAATGGTGCTTATCTCGAGCCAAGAAAACAGCTTTACCTATGATTGAAAAACAATTTTTAAAAATTTGTAAGTATTTGTAAATATATACTGCTCAAATTGTGAGCAGTCGAGCTCTGTTACCTGAATCTTCTTGTGCCCTTATCTGTTTTTTCAGAACCAGTTACACTTTATTTCTTTTTTAAAGTTTTCCTTGTTAGAACTATTTTAATCAAAATAATTTAGTAATGGCAATTAATGAGACAATGAAAAATATATAAAGACAACATTAATCTCCTTTTAAATAACTTTCCAGTCCCCAAACTCTTATGGTAAACTAATTTTGGTATATGTTGTGAGGCAGGGGTCTAGATTTGTGTTCCTCCAAGAGGTCAGCAATAATGCCAGTCTTGTATGTAAATTCATACATACTTGGATAGATATATCATTTTATGCCTTAAAATTATTTCTTAATCCAAAGTCATTAAGATATTTTCATTACTATCTTATATTATATAGTTTTATACATTTAAGTCTTCAAACTATGTATCTTAATATCTTAGTATTTTAATATATCATACAATGTTAGAATATATATAAAATAATATATGACATGCTTTAATTCACATGTTTTATTATATAACACATTTTCTAATTCAGAGGAAAAACGTTTTGCTAATACATGAGGCTGTATATATTAAGATATTAGCACAATATAGACACGATATTATTATATTAGTATATAGTAACATAGCAGTATATTATACACTTCAATTTATTTCTGAATGCTCTAGTTTGTCTTACTGCTCTATTTATGTATTTTTATACCAAGGGAAGTGGCTGTTTTAATATATGGTTATAATTTCCTCCCACTGAGGGGGGAGGTAAAAACAATATGGAATTTATGACACTTCTGTTTGAATCTGGGTGAGCTTTGGATTGTTCCAACCAAGAGAACACAGAAGAAGCAATTCTATATTACTTCAAAGGGTGGTTCGTAAAAGGCCACACAGGTTGTTTGCTCACTGTGGCACTCACTGGAGGAAGCCAATCCGGTCAACAGTTCCAGCTGAACTGTGATCTAATCATCCCTTTCAAGGCACTAAACATCTACGGTTGCTTGGATTTACGTATCATTTTATGCCTTAAAATTCTTCCTTAATCCAAAGTCATTAAGATATTTTCATATACTATCTCATAAAGTTTTACACAGTTTTATCTTAAGACATCTATCTTCAAACTATGTAAGTTGAGAGGAAGAATAACTGGAGTTAGATGAGGTTCTTATATTGTTGAAAAGGAAGATAAGACATTAACTTCAGACTTGGTCTAAGTTAAGTCTGCATGTTAAAAATCTCTAGGATAACCACTAAATAAAAATAGCTTCTAGCCAAATTAAATAGCTCATAGCAGCCTTCTATAAGTATGCGATATCATACACTTAACAATTTCCCTCTAATTGTTCTTCAGAAGCTCTGTTTCAGAATCACTCATATCAATAGGCAAGCGTACTTTCAAAATTATGTGTCATAGCAACAGGCTCAAACACACCTCTATGGCCCCGCGTATTCTTCACTACCATTGGGAACTCCAGTACTTCGGCTTCATCAATCATTTTAGCAAAATTTTCATGGCCACCTGGTTTGGGCAATAAAAAAAAATTAAGAGGAATGGCAGTAGAAGTGTTTTGTGATCAATTTTATTTACACCAAAGACAACGGCGCAGGAAATGGAAGGTATGAATCTAGTGGCTACCTTTTCTTTTCCTTGGAGAAAGTAATAAACACAAGTTGAAAGTATAACTAAGTATCAGTTGAAAACAACTACACCTTAAAACAACCACAACTAAACATATTCTGATAGTCAACTTAAAGAACTTATCTTTCAGCTAACCTGAGTTTCTAATTCTATACCAGTTTTATCCCTACTCCTCCACTACACAAATAAAAGAAGATTTACTTTAATATATTCAATTCCCTGGCTGGATTAAGACATTTTTAAGAAGAGTTGGGCATAGTGGCTCAAGCCTATAATCTCAAAACTTTGAGAGGCCAAGACTGGGCAACATAGCAAAGACTTTGTCTTCAAAAAAAGAACAAACAAAAAGACAGTCAGGTGGGGTGAGTCAGGTACGTGCCTGTGGTGAGCTATGTGCCACTGCACTACAGTCTGAGAAACACAATGAAACCCTGACAGGAAAAAAAGAAAAAGAAAAATAAATGGAAGAATAAACCAATTAAGAAGAGTTATCAAAGACTGAAGAAATGCTGCACACACACACTCTCTCTTATCAAATACATATTCATTTTTCTTATCTCCATTATAAATCCAAGTTTTTTCAATACTGAGGCAACTCAAAATCCATGGGTTAAGTCTTGCTTATTACTGTTTTCATTACCCAGGATCAAATGATACAATAGCAAGATTAGTACAAAAGTATATTGTAGTTCTAAAAACAGTATGATGACAGAAAAAAATTAAGCCAGGAGAAAGCTCATTAAATAAGGGAAACAGAAGAAATCTGCAGCTTGGTGAAATTACAAGAATTTAGTCATGAAATTTTAATCTTTCACATTAGAACAAAGGTAATATTTGTTCATTTGGTTTACTGTTTTCTCCTTTCCATTATCATAAAATCAAAATTATAGAACCATGATATAAACTGTAATATCCTGAAAGCATTAGAAAGACAGAATTACCAACTTACTCATATTGTTTATCTCTAGTGGTGTAATTGCTAAAAGCAGCAACTGTATCCACACATGCCCTATACTCTAGGGGTTCCTTTCTTCAAAAAATTGGCAGTAAGAAGAGGACAAGGGTTTCTTTTTAAAACTTCATTAAATCTCCAAGCATGCTAGTAGACATTTATTTAGAGAAATATCTTTTTGGAAAACTCTGTAGGTGATTTATATTAAGTCTGATCTTTTCCAAACTAGAAAACTAGAAGGGCAGGAAAAACATTAGCCTAACACTGTTTAGAGAGTGTTACTCCAAGTGTGGTTCTGAAACTTGTACCTATTTGTGACTGGTTTGTGACATGTGGTCAGATAAATATTAAAAGTGTAAGCACTCGAAACTTTTATAGCAATTTGACATTGCTGTGATAATTTTTTTCTTTTTTTGAGCTGAACTCTCACTCTGTCACCCAGGTTGGAGTGTAGTGGTATGATCATGGCTGCCACAGCCTGGCCCACTGGGCTCAGGTGATATTTCCTCCTTGGCCTTCCAAGTAGCTGGAACTACAGGCACGTGCCATCATGCCCAGATAGTTTTTTGATTTATTGTAGAGATGAGGTCTCGCTAAGTTGCCCAGGTTGGTCTGGAAACTCCTGGATTCAGGACTCTTGACTCTGCCTCTCAAAGTGCTGGGATTACAGGCATCATAAGCCACTGCACCTGGCTTGTGGAACTACTCTTAAGACATGATTCATAATTCTCCTGACCAGTTTGTTAAAAATAAAGTCACTTCTGTAAGAAGTTTTTCATGCTTGCAAGTTTGCCCTATTAGTTTAGTTTAGCTTTCACAACTTCTGGTACACTAAAATTTAGACTACACATTCTCATTAGTGAACTCACCATAAGAGAAAGTATCTGGCAGAGGAACACCATGGCCAGCCAACTCCTGAAATGTCCAGAACTTATTAACACAGTTCAGGATGGCTTGAGGTCGGTTCATCAACCGGCATCCCATCTTCTCTAGATGGCGTAAAACAGTGATGTCACTATCACTTTGTACCCAAGGGGTTGGTACTCTCACTACCACCACTTGAGGGTATGTAGTGATTAGTTCTCCATTGATCCGGAGGCCTGAAATATACAGAAATAAAGCCAAAACCATTAGAAAGGAATATACAATAAACTAAGAGGAACACTAATATGCCAAAGCTTGGATCACAAGACTAAATGCACTATTTTGTTAATACCGAATGGGAGGAAGGGAGGGAAGGAGGGAGGGAGGGAGGGAGACAGACTTCTGTTAGAAAACAAACAAAAACACAACTTAATTGGAAAGATCCCTGCATGTTTAAATAAATTATGGTACATCCCACTACAAAGAACGACTACTAACCATTAAAAAGAAATGTCATAAATATCTATGTTCAGAGATTTAAAATATCCAGGTACATTATTATTATTATTATTATTATTTGAGTCAGAGTGTCACTCTGTCACTCAGGCTGGAGTGCAGTGGCATGCTCACGGCCACCGCAGCCTCAACCTGGTGAACTCAGGTGATTCTTCTGCCTCAGCCTTCCAAGTAGCTGGAACCACAAGCATGTGCCACCATACCCAGCTAATTTTTTGACTTATTGTAGAGACGAGATCTTGCCATGTTGCTCAGGCTGGTCTCAGAACCCTGAACTCACGTAATCCTCTCACCTCCACTTCCCAAAGTCCTGGGATTACAGGCGTCAGCCAATGCACTGTGCCTGGCTGTATTTTTTTTTTTTGAGTTGGTCTCACTCTGTTGCCCAGGCTGGAATGGTGGCATGCTCGTGGCATGCTCGTGGCCACCCCAGTGTTGACCTGCTGGGCTCCGGAGCTCCTTTCACCTCAGCCTTCCAAGTAGCCGGAACTACAGATGCATGCTACCACACCTGGCTAATTTTTAATTTATTGTAGAGATGAGGTCTCGCCAAGTTGCCTGGTCCGGTCTTGAACTCGCGGGCTCAAGCAATCCACTCGCCTTGGCATCCCAAAGTGCTGGGATTACAGGCTAGGCCACCAAGCCCAGCCCATAATTTTTTTAAAGTGAAAATCAGAGAATAAATTTTACTTGTGTTTTGATATGCAAAGAAAATGTCTAAACAGGTGGCAAATATGCAAAACTACCTATTCTGAGCTAAAGAATTTATACTTGTTCTGATCAAGAGAATGGAGGGTAGTGCTCTCTCATCTTTTAAATCCTCCCCCTATATGTATGGCAGCATTTGCCATGTGCTCCAGAAGAATTCCATTTTGAGAATCTACTAATGAGGTGACAATCATACAACATTTTGAAGGTGGAAAAAAAGGAGAAATAATTCTCCTGGATCACCTATGGGTAGGAATGTGGTCACCAGCAGATGTAAGGTTTGTCAATGGCTCTAGCCATTCTTACAATCACTCATTTTGTTACTACAAATAACTTGAGATCACTTCTTATATTTTAGCAATGGCTTGTTTGCATAGGCAAACCTAAAGAGCATTCTAAAAACTGAAAAAAAAAAAAAATCCAGTGACTAGTTTGGGAATTAAAAGCTCTAAGAAAAGAATGTAGAGAATGGAAAAGGTGAAGGAGAAGCTGGTTTAGGACAAAAGATGTTAGATTTGGATCTAGATATGAAAGATTCTGGGCTGAGCTTGGTGGCTCAGCCTGTAATCCCAGCACTTTGATGGCCCAGGCAAGTGGATCGCCTGAGCCCGTGGGTTCGAGACCAGACCGGGCAACTTGGCAAGATCTCTACTCTACAATAAATACAAAAAATCAGCCAGGCGTGGTATCACACGCCTGTAGTTCCGGCTACTTGGATGCTGAAGCAGAAGGATCACTGGAGCCCAACAGGTCACGCTGGGGTGGCCGTGAGCATGCCACTGCACTCCAGCCTGGGTGACAGAATGAGACTCCAACTCAAAATAAAAATAAATAAATAAATAAATTCTTAAAAAAAAAAAAAGGAAAGAAATAAAGATTCTGGTGATGACATGATGACATAGGATATCAAAGCAGAACTATCTGAAGTACAGATTGGAACTATAAATATACAGTCTGAGTGCAGTGGCTCAGGCCTGCAATCACAGCAGTTTGGGAGGCCTAGGCAGGAGAATCGCTTCAGCTCAGGAGTTCAAGACCAGCCTATGCAACACAGAGAACTTGTTTCTGTAAAAAAAAATTTTCTGGAAACTAGTGAATGGTGGCATAGACCTGAAGTTCCAACAAAAGGATTGCCTGAGCTCAGCAGGTTGAGGCTGAAGTAAACAGTGATCTTGCCGCTGTACTCCAGCCTGGGCAATAGAGTGAGATCCCAACTCAAATACATAAATAAATAAACAAAAACAAAGATTAATCCATGTTTTGGCCAAGTGTGATGGCTCATGCCTATAATCCCAGAAATCTGGGAGTCTGAGGTGAGAGGATTGCTTAAACGTAGGAGTTCGAGACTAGCCTAGGCAACGTAGCGAGACCTTGTTTCTTTAAAAAAAAAAAAAAAAAAAA